TTTGAAGACCCTGAAGCGTGCCAAAACTTGGTTCTCGGAATTTCAACGTAAAGGATCAATTTGACTGTTGCGTATTGACGACCTTGAACCGTGCCAGAACGCCATTCCTGAGACTTCAGCACCGCGAACCACTGTAACTGTTGCACCCTCACGAACTTGAACTCTTCCAATACACAATTTGGTTACGTTGATCACGGGAGTCCGTGAAGCTCTGGCAAATCGTAAGAATGTGCGCGGCGCTAAGACGAGCACCACATTTTGAAAAGGAAGCGCCCTCAATCCGTGGAGCTCCTGCGTTTATATACAACAGAATGCTACTCGCGGCCCTTAGGCGAGAACCACAAGTTGAAAACCACCCGCCCTCAATCCGTGAAGCTTTTGCAAGTGTTTGAAACGTATGTGTGCGGGGCTAAGGCGAGAATCACATTTTGAAAACGACCCGTCCTCAGTATGTGAAGCTCATGCAAACCTTTGAAACGAATGTACGCGGCGCTGGGGCGACAGCCACATTTTGAAACCCACTCAACTTCATGGTCAGAAATGATGAAGAAGTCTCAAGCGAAACGCCTGGTCCGCCCTAAAAACTTGCCTCGGGGTGGGGCAGGGAGAACTTATATATAAGGAGAAGGAATAGAGGAGGAGGAGGAGGAGAAGAAGGAGGAGGAGGAGGAGGATGAGGAGGAGAGAAAGCGGAGGCGGAGGCGGAGGCGGAGGAGGAGGAGGCTGGGGAGGGGAAGGGGGAGAGGAGGAGGAAGAGGAGGAGGAGAAGGAGGAGGAAAGGGAGGAGGAGGAAGAGGAGGAGGGGGAGGAGGAGGAGAAGGAGGAGGAGAAGGAGGAGGAGAAAGATGAGCAGGAGGATGGAGCGGGCTTGAGCGGGCCATTCGGGTACACAATGCCCCACGGCTTCGTGCCGTAAGAATGTAGGCCGCATCGGGCCGTCCCCGAGCCGAGCCAAAACTCCAGGAAGCCCCATATACGGGCTGGCTTACGGTGGGGTGTAAACCTTTGCAGCGGCCAATTCGGCCTAATTACCCCCCGGGGGAGGAGGAGGAGGAGGAGGAGGAGGAGGAGGAGGAGGAGGAGGAGGAGGAGGAGGAGGAGGAGGAGGAGGAGGAGGAGGAGGAGGAGGAGGAGGAGGAGGAGGAGGAGGAGCAGGAGGAGGAGGAGGAGGAGGAGGAGGAGGAGGAGGAGGAGGAGGAGGAGGGGGAGGGAGGAGGGGGAAAGGAGGGGGGGGGAGGGAGGAGAAGGAGGGGAGGAGGAGGAGGGAGGGAGGGGGGAGGATGGATGAGGGAGAATGGAGGAGAGAGGGGGAGGAGGGAGGAGGGAAGAGGTAGGAAGGAGGAAGGCGGGCAGAGGAGGAAGGTGGGAGTGGGGAGGAGTAAGGAGGGAGGAGGAAGGAGGAGGGAAGAGGCAAGAGGGAGGAGGGAAGGGGGAGGGACGGGGAGGGAGGAGGCGAGGTGGAAGGAGGGAGGTGGAGGCAGGAGGGGGCAGGAGCAGGAGTAGGAGTAGGAAGAGGGGGAGGAGGAATGAATAATGAACGAATGAATAACTCGTGGGATCCTGTCCTGACCTCTGCCTGGCTGTCGAGCTACTCAAATCTGACATACTTCGAGAGAGCAAGGACTCTGAATCTGGTTACTTGTGCACCCCCTTACCACTTGCAAATTTGACCGGCGCGCACCGCCAGAGCGGCACAGGCCGACCTGCACCCGTAGAGTCGGGCACGCAGCCCTAGGGCAGGCTCCAAAGGTACGGGGGCCCCCGTCCCACGCCCTGACACAATCCCACCCCCCCGCCGACGTTTCCCCTTGCCTTTGGAACCTGACATAGGCTTCGCACGAGGGGCGTATATTATCGGAATGAGGGGCAGTCAGTGAGCCAGGCTGGGGGGCTGCTGCATACGTAGTTTTCCTAGAAACCGAATCGAGGACCTCGATGGGAACCACTCCACGAGAAACTAAATCCTGGAAGCGCGCACTGTTTGCGAAGGCTCCCCGGGAAACATGGCCGAGAGGGCCCCGACAAGGGGCTCACTGGGCGGGGGGGTCCCTTCTGTGCTGGCTCTGGTTGCATGCTGGCTGCTGCTGCCTACTACTTGTTCCTGGGTCCCACCACGTCGCTGGTCTCCCTTTCCAAGGGCCCTCCCGGAGCCGCTCCCGACAAGAAGAATCCCCCTTCGAATTCCGACAATTTTTCCATATGCCATGAGAGGGTGGTCCCGACCATCGTGCCCCTGTGAACGCCATCGAGAGGATGGCCTCCGGGGTGTCGCCGTTCGCCGCCCTGAGCACCTGGCAGCGGAAGTACGGGACAACGCGGCCTATCTGCATCGCGGAGAGGCCTGGGCGCATGACCTCCGTGTTGTAGAACTCCTTCATCGCATCCCTGAGCTTGATCTGATCTGGATTGCCACCTTCGGCGAATATCTTGCCCGCGCCATGCAGGATGGCCGCCATCACTATGTGCACGTGGGGGAGGGCCTCGCTCCTTGTAGTTCACATCTCCGCCCTCGCGAGCGGTCTTCTCCATCTCCAATCTCATCTTATTGTAGGCCACTCCCGCCGTCTTGCTCGCAGCCGTCACCCTCTTCGTCGCATCTGGCATCTCGTATCGGAGGGATACTGTGCTCTTCAGGTCCGCGACGTCCCGCGCGATCGTCATGGTGAGCCTGGCGTTGGCGATGCCGAGCTTGCTGCCTGCGCCAGCGCCCCCGCCTTTCTTATGGGCCGTCTCCCCCTTGTGCTTCTTGTCGGCGTCCGCGTCGTCGGCCTCTGCGTCTCTCTTGGTCTTGCCACCGCTGAACCACGAGGGTGGCTCCACGGACTGCTCCATGGCTGCGCCCTCCCTGCCGTCTCCCATCGTCGAACAGGCGTGGTCGCAGAGGTAGATGCGTGCAGAGGCGTTCGCAGAGATCGTCGAGACTCGAACCGTCGAACTCGCACACTGGGCAGGCGAAAGTGTTGACAGGTGTGGTGACCCGTAGCGTGCTAGGCCCCACCGTTTGACAGCGTCTTCGGAACATCGAACCCATGGCATGCTGCATGCTTAGCAGCGTCAGCTCGACATGCGAATACTTGGCGACACTGTACACATATATTGGTAGGAGTAAGTGCATCGCAGATGTTACGCAGCCCATGGGCTCTCCTGAGGTGTTTCATGAGGTTTCGACGTGTCCCGAAGCAGGCGTCGCACATCACGTTTCCGTTTTCCTCCTGGGGGGGCCAGCACCTCCACTGATGGTCAGCACTCTGGGCTTCCTCCACGACCCCTGGCTCACGTGGAAAAGGCGGAACATAATCGGGAGGAGGGATGTTGACGGTGTACTGCCTCGATCTGTAAGCGGAGGCATCCACATAAGCAAAACAAAAGAAGAGGAGGCTGTCACTTCATCCATGAGCGACCTAACATCCCGAGCCACCGTAGCAAGCACATCTTCATCCAAAACATTAGCCAGACACATAAGGTCTTCTCGTATCTGATGGGCCAGGGGCATGCACGCGGACCGGGGCCTCCAAAGGAAGACGAGGTCCCTCCTGCTCAAAGTGTAGCGAACCGAAGAGGGGCCTCGAGGATCTGGAGGTGGTTGGTAGGCCTTCTGGCCCAGCTCTGGACGAGACAAACTCGACGTATCAGAAGATCGAGAAAAGGGCGAGACAGTTTCCAATGCAACAGTAGGGAGCTGTTCGTCATCGTATGTGGGTGAACTCCGCTCCAGTCCGTGGCCTTGCCAGCCATCGCAATCCTGCAGAAACGTGCCTTTACGGCTTCCAGCCGCGCATCATCTCGTTCAGACTAAGTAAAGGCCTCCAGGCCACTGAGCGGCGCATTGTAGGCGAAATTCGGCAGTAATAAACGCTTGAATTTACATGTGAGCTCTCGTTGCCAGACCGACCCCAGCGAACGAAACAATGTCCAGGAAGCGGCTATCCGTCGATCGATCTCGTGGTTAGCACTGTCTCTACGAGCCACGTGGGGACCCAGGTATCGAACTCGTTCCCGTATTGAACCCTCGAGGTCCACTGCCTTCGTTAGAGTCTGTATCAGGTAGGCACTGTGCAGGAGGAGGAGGAGGAGAAGGAGGAGGAGGAGGAGGAGGAGGAGGAGGAGGAGGAGGAGGAGCAGGGGGAGGAGGAGGAGGAGGGGGAGGAGGAGTAGGAGGAGGAGGAGGCGGAGGAGGAGGAGGAGGAGGAGGGGGAGGAAACGATAATAGGTGTCAGTGAGAGAGGAGCAACCGTCCGGGTACGGCGCGTGGGCCCCGCCTGCGAGGCCGGGCGGCTGTGGCGCTTCGGCGCCGCCAGCCGCGCAGCCGAGCGGCTCCTCGGGACGCGCCGCTGCGCCAGCTGGCCCGGAGGTGGAGCCGCTGGAGCCCCCGTGCTCCGTGCTGGTGGCCCGGCGCTGCTCGTCGACCAGCCACTGCACGGCGCTCACGGACAGGACCCCGTCGACCACTGCCCGGCGCAAGGGGAGCGGCTGCGCCATGTCGGCCAGGAGCGCGTCGCAGCGCGTGCGGCACCACCGCACGCCCTCGGACACGTCGGCCTCCTCGCGGTCCTGCCCGCGCGTCCCTGCCACCGACGCGCCCAGCTTCGGGATGCCGATGCCCCCGAGCCGGCTCTCGCAGGAGGCCGTGGCGAGCATCGCGGCGCTCGTGTCGATGGCGAGCACAAAGGGGGGGCTCCCGGAGGGCCCGCTCTCGATCGCCAGAGCCTGGAAGCTGACGGTGCTGAGGAGGCCCCCGGCCCCCAGGTCGAGCACCACGCCGGGCCCCAGGGGCAGCCCCCCCAGCGTCACGGCCGAGCGCGTGAGCTCCGCCTGCACCTTGGTCGCCTTTGGGGTGCCGTGGTACCTGGCGGGTTCTGGAAGGCCTGAGCCTCTAAATGTTGCCGCCCCTTGGGGGGTCCATCTTGTACCCTTCCGCCGGCTTCCGCCCGCCTTCCGCTGGCGGAGGCGGCCTCCTTCTGCCTCCGACAGCTTCCACCGGGTTCCGCGGGCGGAGGCGGCCTCGCCTTGCTTCCGCCAGCTTCGGCCGCGCCTCTGCCGCCTCTCGCCGAGGAGGAGGTGCCAACTCCTTCGAGCCCTCGAAGGCGAGGCTCTTTCTGGAGCGCCCCCACTGTGCACTGCATCTCTCCGCTTCGCCTCCGGTCCCATTGTCGACGATGCTCGTTCGATGCTGCACCGTAGGCAATTTGGCCCGAAGAGGTCCTTTAAGGGGCGAAACGCATAGCCTGCTTCTCTTTTCGCTTGGGACTCGATCCAGCACCAGTGCACCCTGGTCGCCCTTGGGGCAGGCGAGCCCAGAATGGAATCGATAAGTCTGATCGGCGATCGAAACGAATCGGATCGGCGGAAATCGGCAGCCAAGTCGGGAGGAGTCGAATCGGTGGAAATCGGCAGTCTAGTAAGGCCTCCATTGAGAAACCGGAATCCAAATCGAAATACCGAGTCGAATCGATTCGGCATCGGAAGCCGCCGAGATCGAGATGGAGACTCGACCCAACACAAGGTGCACCCTGGTCTAGAAGAGGAAGAAGAAGCACTACATAAACCTAAACTTTTGGCGCTCCGCGCGCATGTCTTGGATCTGAGCGCGGATCCGAGAAATCCGCGCGGAGCGCCAAAAGTTTGTGGTCATGGCGTTTTTTCTCCTTCGATGGTCGCCTTTGGGGTGCCGTTGCACCTGGCCGCATCGGCCTCGTGCCAGTGCTCGACGCTAGATCGATGCCAATCGACGCTAAATCGACGCTAATCGACGCTAGCCGACGCTAAATCGGCGCTATCTCGTCGACGCCCAGACGCTAATCGACGCTAGTCTTAAGTTGGGCCTGTCCCTCTACAGCAGGAATATTTCCAAATAGTCAAACATAGTAGTCTGGGGACGATGTTTCTTCAGCATTTTTGGACTGTTTTGGGGATCTTTTGTATGTTTAATTCTTCGCCCAGAATCCGCCTGCAGGAGGACATGCCCGACCTAACGCTAGTCGACGCCAAAGATGGATGTAAGAGAGTGTACCCGGTCTCCCGGGCCTTGCTGCCGCATGCGCCCTGGCCGCCCTTCGGGGTGCCGCGGCACCTGGCCGCCTCGGCCTCGTGCCAGTACTCCGCCGCCTGGCCCCCGGCGGCCTCGGGCTGCGCGGCGGCGCCGGCGCGGGGCCCTCCGGACCCCCGGGCGCCCCGCCCGCCCCCGCGGCCGCGCCGGGCCATGCGGCCGCGCGCGGCCGCGGCAGCGACGGGCGGCAGCCGCCGCCCCGTGGAGCCGAGAGCTGCGGGCGCTCGATGCGCACACGCCAAAAGAGCGCCTCGAGATTCCACCCCATCCCGCCTCCCTCCTCCTCCTCCCTCCTCAGCACTCCTCCTCCCTCCTCCTCCTTCTCCACCTCCTCCACCTCCTCCTCCTCCTCCTCCTCCTCCTCCTCCAGCTCCTCGACACTGAGATCCTGGCGCTGCAATTTTTTCACCACGGTTGTTTCCGCCCAGCTTCGGGCCCTGGGACCCTCACGGATCGATCCGGCGCGAAACATGACGCAGAAAGATGGGGTTCGGAGCTCTGGGCGTGATTTTTTGCGATGCTGCAGATTCGTTCGCAACGTCGGATCTCGGGCCGACGGCGCGACATCCAACGATCTGGCACGCGGTCGCCGCAGAATACAGCACCGCGCCACTCGTCGCACTGCAGGAGGACCTGCAGGAAGCCTGCCAGGGCCCACGGTCAGGAACTTCTGCCTGGCGTGTCGCGCCGGCGGCCCTGGCTGTGCCCTGCGAGCTGGAAGCGTATCGCTCCGCTCCGCGGAGCGGGGGGGAAGGCTTGAGACGTTGGCGCTTGGGGACTCGGACGTGGTCAGCGTGTCGCGCCGAAGCGTGGTGGGCCAGAACTGGCGGCGCGACGCGCGAAGCAAACGTCCCAGACGTTTAGGTTGCGAACGGCCAACCCCCAGAAGCATCTCGCCTCGGCTGCCCGCAAAAAGGGCCCACATGGTACATCCAAGGCACCCCAGGGCGCGAGGCGCCTGGAGGAAGCCGTCGGAGGTGGGACTGGGTGCCGATACCGCCCAGACTGCCTGGGCGGCGTGTTCCGACCAGCCACACATCAGGGGAGCTGTGCTCCTTGCCCGCCCAGGGGGAGCCCGTCGTGTCGACGAGCTCTCTCGAAACAGGTGCCGAAGCCGCTGGCTCCCCTCCCAGAGGCGCAGGGAGCCCAACTCCCCCAGCTGGCCATCGCTCGGACGTCCATTCCCTGTGCTTTTCGTTGGTTTTGTGCGTGGTTTTTTCGCCAAATGATCAAGGATGCTCCTCGATAGTCCTCGCCGAAGGAACGATGCACACGTCCGAGCGATGCCAAGCCAGTGGCGGGTCTGCTGTTCGGGACCTGCTTGTGCCGAAGCCTGTGCCTTGTTAGCGAGGCCCCTTCCGACCACGGCCGCGCAGGGACATTCTTCCAGGCCGCCCTGGGCCCTCCTTGCTATCTTACCCCTGCCGCCCTGGTCCGCCCTGCCATCGCGACACGGACCCTGTTTCAAAGCTCTTCTCTTCTGGGGAAGCCAGAAGGGACCGATACCGCTACTTCCCGGACATCTCCCGGGATGCTTTCTGACGAGAATTTCGAAGCGAATCCGGCGGCGGCGACGAGGGCCTCCCAGGCGGCCTCAGAAAGGGAAAACGAGGGAAGGGTCGCGGTATGGGTACCTTTTCCTTCTCCTCCGACCTTCCTCCTCCATCCTGCCACAGTCGCCCAGCCCCTCCTTCAGGGCGTACGGGAAGAAGCCGTCCATGATGTCGTCCAACAGCTGCTGGGCCTCGCGCTGCCCGTACGGGCGGAACGGCTCCTGCCGGGACACAGCAAGAGAGGGCTCAGGCGCAAGACCAAGGCCACGCTGACGGCGATGCTGCTCAACGGTGATGCTGGGAATCAATTTTGGAAATCACGAACCACGCTTCCTTACATTTCCAATCTGCGAATGTATCGAACGAAAGCGACGCAGCGAATTGTTTGAAAGCGCGAGCCACGCGTGCCCATAATACCGAAACCTGCAGCGCCCTTACCTACATCGCAAGTTAGCGTGTCTACGGCAAAAACAGGAGAGCCTGAATACCAGGGCAACATAGCATCGTGCTGGAACTTTTTGCAAACCCAGAGAGAACGAACTACACCCAACGAACTGGTGCCACCCGAGGCTGGGCACCAGAGCCACCAACTCGACACAACCTCGTGATGGGGCAATTGAACATACACTTTCGACGGTCCGCGCGGACTTCTCGGATCTGCGCTGGGCCCCTCCTGGCGACGCTTCTGGCGCCGCTTCTGGCGCCGCTTCTGGCGCGCTCCGCGCGCCAGGGAGAGGGGTCCAGCGCCGATCCAAGAAATCCGCGCGGAGCTCCAAACGTTTATGTTTATGCCGCTTATGTATTTTTCGATAGAAGAAGACCATATTTGCGAAGTGATGCTTTTTCGCGACGTGGGCGTTAAAATTCTCGAACCCGCGCCCAAAACATTTCTGTTCGCCGCGGGTCGTTTCTGCGCAGGGCCTGGGGTCGGAAAGCAGCCCCTGGACGGCAAAATGGCGAACACAAGTCCCGTCGTGCAGAGGGATGAGCAGCAGTAGCGCAGGCAGGGGGGGGGTGAGGAGAGGACGATTCGTATGCTCCTACGGTGGGGAACTTTTGCAGAAGCGTGTCGCCGCGGCGGGGGGCAGGGAAAAGCTCGGGATGTGGACGTCTCGGGACGGCGAAGCGGATCACGTGCCGCGCCGAAGCGTGGTGGGCCAGAATCGGCGGAGCGACACGCTATCCAACTTAGACGCTGGCTCGTGAGCGCGGTTTCGAGCCGCAGCGGGTTGCCATTCGCGACTGGTCGCTCTGCCGTCGAAGAAGGCCGCCGCACTTCCACCCATCCACCTCGCCCCGCCCCCTCCCCTCCTCCACTTCCTCCTGATCCTGCTCCTCCTCCTCTGCCTCCTCGTCCTCCTCCTCCTCCTCTCCCTCCTCGTCCTCCTCCTCCTCCTCTCCCTCCTCGTCCTCCTCCCCCTCCTTCGCCTCCTCCGCTCGACTGCCACCATCCGCATTTTGCGCGGCGCCCCCCCCCCCCCACCCCTCCAGGGGCGGCACCTGCCGCTCCGGGGTCTCTGCTCTCCTCCTCTCCTTTCTCTCCCTCCTTCGCTGGTTCTGATCCGTTCCGCAGCCCAAGAAGCATGAGTCTCAGCTGTTCGCACAACTGCAAGAAGTGAGACAAAAGGACTTGGACTTCCCGCGAAGCCTCGTCTAGGGCAGTGGCCTCCGCTCCGAAAACTGAGCATACTGTGTCCGTAAACGTCCATGTTGCCAATAGTAGATCATACGTCCATGCTCCCGCCTGGATGCCTCAATGCCTCACTGGCCGATAATGCACGCGGATGCTGCGCAGCATCCGTCTCGAAGGCCGCCGTCGGTCTGGACCACTACATTCGCGCTCTCGAGCAGCATACTCGTGTGAAACCGTCGTAGCCGAAATCTCTGGATGTTCATCGTCAGGTCTGCGCGGCCGTCTGCTACCTGGTTGTGCTTCCGCGGCCATCAATGGATCGTCAAACACCCTCGGTGGGGCCCATTCCAAGCCCATATGGTGTGGGATACGCCGAAGAATCCTGGATAGCAAAGGTTCGAAATGTCCTTCCTGGAGGCGAACATGTCCGCAAACCAGCTGTTAGAGCAACTTAGAGTCTGTCACGTACGCCTCCTGCTCCACCTCCTCCTCCTCCTCTTCCTCCTCCTCCTCCCTTTCATCCTCCTAAGCCTGGGCTGTTGCGCATACTGGGATTTCTTGGTGTGTCTCTCGTCCCTTTCGGCGGGTGGAATGCCAAAGGTTGTCGTACGCTTCAATACATTCTTGTGCTGCCGCTACACAGCTGGGATCAGCCCAGCTGGGAAAAGCGGGCAGTGACAACATGCCCTACCATTCAACAGTTGCTTGGCCACATCGTTTTCACTTTTGAAAATCATCGTGTATGGTGCCACGGTGATGCCTAGTCTACTTTGTCGGTTCAGGCGTTTGGGTTGTATGTCGGCGCAGCTGTGTGGTACTGGTTCGGAGCTATACCACCTCGATTCGCGGTGTTGCTCATGCGTGTTGGTGTGCTTGGTGGATGTGGAGTCGCTTGTTCTTTCTTGTGGGGCACGTTCTTCTGGCTGGTCGGGAGGAGGAGGGACCCCATTTCTTGTCCTCAAAACGATGTGAGTTAACTTTCTGCGTGGATGGCAGCGTTCATGTGGGGACGTACTCATTCGACATATCAAACAATTGTTCCTTGGGCTTCTTTACGTTGTCAATTGTGTACGTGTTGTTGGACGCCATCTGACCGTGCATTGCTGCTCGTCTTCGCTGACTTCGTCGTGTGCGTTGAAGGTTAAGGCGGCAAGTGGTGGCGTTTGCTTGTTGTGACGCTGTCCGTCTGTTCCGATATGGTTCCTCCTCCTCCTCCTCCTCCTCCTCCTCCTCCTCCTCCTCCTCCTCCTCCTCCTCTCCTCTCCCGCTGCTCCTCCTTTTTGACACTGGGGCGACCTTGAGCCGCGGGGATGTAGCGTTCCACACTGGTGATCGTGCGAAACATGAAACGTCCGACTAGGCGAAGTGCAGCCCTGGTCAAGCGGGCGGCCAGTGCGGATCGGGAAGGACAACATAAAAGAGGGCAAACAGAGAAGCCCGTGCGGGCACAGCGTAACAGAACCGTCTGCTGGGGGAAGAGGGGGTCAACCACAACATAACCTGATACCGAAAAAGGGTGAATGCTATGCGTGCCATGCGCACCATGAAACCGCTATAGTCACGAGGCAACTGCAATAGCAATAGAAAGAACATTTAGGCGGCATGGGCGTACTGTTGCCTCAACGCCGCCTGCATGAGCCCCAAGGGATTGTCTTGCAGCCGAATCAGAAGTCATATCCTCAAAGGCGTCATAGGCAAGTTGCCCTTCATAAAAGATCTGAACTCCTTGGACTTAGGATTCGGGACGCATCACGACGTAATCTTCAGAGCCTTCTGGGTCTGCTCCTCCTGCTCCTCTTCCTCCCCCTCCTCCTCCTAACTGCTCCTCCTCCTCCTCCTCCTCCCTCTCCTCCTTCTCCTCCTCCTCCTTCTCCCACTCCTCCTCCACCTCCTCCTCCTTCTCCTCCTACCCCTTCTCCGTGCACGCGAAGACTATCCTTGCCCTGCCTTCCCGCGACGACTGCGCCCATGAAGGGGTCGCGCGCCCTTGCTGCCCCTGTCCACGACCTGCCGCCCTCCTCCCTCTCTCCCCGCGAATCGTCTTTTCTTTCCTTCCGGGAGAGGACGCGGAGGGTGAGAAAAGGCAGATGGGGAAGCGACTGGGGAATGGCGGGTCCAGGTGATACGGCTTCGAACCGCGAGCGGGTCGAGGTCGAGTCGAGGCCACGAGCGGCGGGTCGAGTCGAGGCCGTCGAGGTGACTGGACGGCCTCGATTCGAAGAGAGAGGCCTTCCAGAGGGGATGGGGGGGGGAATGGGGAATTGGGAATAGGGGAACGTGAAACTGGGAAATGAGCGTGAAGAGCGGCGTCCACGGACGGGGGAATCCACGCCGCAGACCGTCACCCAGACATCTGGCGTCGTCAAGTTTCAGAATACGCGCCACCGACCTCTCGACCCTGCACCCAAGGCTGTTCTTGTTGTCGCCGTTGTATCATGATTGCCGGCCCCTGTGTCCGAACACACGGCGACATGTCGTCCGTCACGACTTTGTGTCCGAGATGCCAAGGGGTATGGATACTACAGCAGGAGCTCGACCACAAGAGACCTTCCACAAGAAGCCCAACCCTGAGACCCCAGGACGTCCATTGATTTTGGGTGTGGGAGCGTCACGCTTTCCATCGCAAAACCATCGGAACCCAGTAAACCCAGGGCGCCCTGGAGGCAAGCAAGGTGTTTCGGTGTTTCTTGTCGTGGGTCTCCACTGTAGGCCACTCAACTCCGCTCTCCGTGATGCGCGCTCACCTTCGCGTCCCCGCGCCGCCTTCCCAGAGAAGGCCAGCTCTTCGGCGCCACCCTCGAGTCGCGATCATCTTCGCGCCCCTGCGGGTGACCTGGGGGGGGGGCGGGCGGGAATGAACGAATTGTTCTACGATTCGCGATGGCGGCCCTGAGCGGGAATGCTCCCCCCGCCCCCGCCCCATCTGGTGACGGCACGGTTCTCGCCGGCGCCGTTTGGAATTGCTAGGGGCAGCTACTTCCCAGAAGGCGCCGGCGCGCATCGCGACGCTACCCACTGGTAGCGGCCGTTATTGGGGAAACCAAGAGACACCGATACCGCTGCTCCCTGGACCTCTCCCAGGCTGCGTCCTGACTAGAATTTCGAGGCGAACCCAGCGGTGGCGACAAGGGCCTCCTATGCAGGAGGCCCAAAAAAGGAGCAGGGGTAGCGGTATGGGTACTTGTCCTCCTCTGAGTTATCGCGGGGGGAAAAAGGCCAGAAGCTCCCCACCTCTCTCCTCCCATTCCCTCGCGTCCTTTCCCAGCTTCACGCCGTCGCCGAAGAACACCAGCGGTAGCGCCTCCTCGCCTTCCGGGGGCAGCGCAAAAGCCTCGAAAAGCACACCCGGAGGTGTCGCCTCCCATCAGGGGCCGTGGGCTCCCGAGACCGAGGAACCAGCAAAGCCCCGAGGCGCGGATCCTCGGCCCGGCCGCCCACGGGGAAGCACTTTTTGAAACGGGCCCTGACACACACCCACCCACCCACCCACCCACCCACCCACCCACGCACGCACGCACGCACGCACGCACGATCACGATCACGATCACGATCACGATCACAATCACAATCACAATCACAATCACAATCACAATCACAATCACAATCACAATCACAATCACAATCACAATCACAATCACAATCACAATCACAATCACAATCACAATCACAATCACAATCACAATCACAATCACAATCACAATCACAATCACAATCACAATCACAATCACAATCACAATCACAATCACAATCACAATCACAATCACAATCACAATCACAATCACAATCACAATCACAATCAGAATCAGAATCAGAATCAGAATCAGAATCAGAATCAGAATCAGAATCAGAATCAGAATCAGAATCAGAATCAGAATCAGAATCAGAATCAGAATCAGAATCAGAATCAGAATCAGAATCAGAATCAGAATCAGAATCAGAATCAGAATCACAATCACAATCACAATCACAATCACAATCACAATCACAATCACAATCACAATCACAATCACAATCACAATCACAATCACAATCACAATCACAATCACAATCACAACAATCACAATCACACTCACATCACACTCACACTCACACTTCACAATCACAATCACAATCACAATCACAATCAATCACAATCACATCACAATCACAATCACAATCACAATCACAATCACAATCACAATCACAATCACAATCACAATCACAATCACAATCACAATCACAATCACAATCACAATCACAATCACAATCACAATCACAATCACAATCACAATCACAATCACAATCACAATCACAATCACAATCACAATCACAATCACAATCACAATCACAATCACAATCACAATCACAATCACAATCGCAATCACAATCACAATCACAATCACAATCACAATCACAATCACAATCACAATCACAATCACAATCACAATCACAATCACAATCACAATCACAATCACAATCACACACACACACACTCTTTTTTTTACAGCCGCAGGCGGAAGCGCCGGCGGCGAGGGGTCACGGTCGGGCTGCGGCCGTGACGAATTACCCGGGCGCGCGCGGGGGGCCGCGGATCAGGCGGCGGGGCAAGCAGCAACCCAAAGCGCACACAAATCCTAGGATTCCCCATGCTTCCCATATTTTCTGGAGCTCCGTCTTCCCCCCACTTCCCATATTTTTCAGATTTTCCTGGGAGTCGCCGATCAATTGTGTCTGTGTGTGTTTTTCCCCTCCCGATTTTTTCTTACTCGCGGGCAGCATGCGAATTTGAAACGGCGCGGCCGCCGGCGCCCCAGCACGGTGCCGACCTATAGTTGGGCACCTTCGGCAGCTGCGCGATGCGGTGCGCAGCCACGGGAGCGAATGCAGCCTCGCTGCCCCCCCCAGCACAGGGCAGATTCGTAGCGTCGACCCCACGAGGTCTCGACCCATTCGTCGGGATTGTTGTTTCACCTCCCGAGGCCCGGTAAGGGCCCCCAAAGGCCGAGAATCTAGGAGCACCTCCCTTCGTGATTGATTCACAGGTTTCAGGCGAACCGCCCCGCCGGCCCTACTGACACGCCTCGGGGCGCGACAGGGGATTTGTTTATAAGGAAAAGGGATGGGGGAGGGCGAGGAGGCGTAGGAGGAGATCGTCGTCGTCGGCGGCGGTGTTGTCGTCGTTGGCGTCTGCGTCGTCGTCGTCGGCGTCGGCGGCGGCGTCGTCGTCGTCGTCGTCGGCGGCGTCGTCGTCGGTGTCGCCGCTATGGAGGCGAAGGCCCAGCGGGAGGCTGTCAGAGGTGATCCTGGCGCAAAGTTCCGTAGGCTTTTTGCGCCACTCTGGACCCAAGGCAGCATTCTAAGGAGTGCTCCAGAGGCCATCCCTCGTCCTCCCTCCTCGTCCTCCTTCTTCCTTCCTCCTTCCTCCTTCCTCCCTCCCTCCCTCCCGCATTTCAGGTCTAGGGCTGAAACCAACTTCGGTGGGTGTGCATTCACAGAACAGCGGCAACGTTGGGATCGATCCTGGACACTCTCCCATCATCGTCGTCACCGCCGCCGCACCCGCCGTCGCCGTCGGCGTCATCGTTGGAGGCGTCGTCGTCGTCGTCGACGTCGTCGTCGTCGTCGGCGGCGTCGTCGGCGGCGGCATCGGCGTCGTCGTCGGCGGCGTCGTCGTCGTCGGCGGCGGTGGCGCCCCGAAGGCCTCCTGGCACCAGCCGCGCTTGCACGCCGCCGCCCACGCGCTCGCGGACCACGCGTGTGGCCGCGGCCTCGACCGTGGCGTTGAGCTCCTGCGCCGCGGGATCGCGGGGCGCCGACGCCGACGACGCCAACGCCGAGAGGATTTGGGCGTTCTCACCTGTTCGGCTTCTCAGCGCTCCAAGACTGCCCAAGGAGCCCCGAAGATCGCCCCAAGACGGCCCAAAAGGCCTCCAAAATGGCCCCAACACGGCACAACAGGGCCCCAACACGGCCCAAGAGGCGCCAAGGCGGCGCAAGAGGCCCCAAAGACGGCTCCAGGAGGGGGCCTAGAAGGGGGACCCGAGCTGACATTTCGAGCCCTCGGCCCCGATGGGCCGCCAGGGGGCTCCAAGAGGCCCCAAGACGCCCCCACGATGCCCCCAAGATGCTCCCCAGAGGCCCTCAATAGGCCCCCAATAAGCCCAAAACTGCCCCAAGAGGCCCTCGAGAGCGCCCCGAAGAGACCCCAAGAAGCATCTCTGAGAACTCTGCCCACAACCCACACGATAGCGGGACGGTCCGAATCTCATGATAAGCACACATACATACGTACATACATACACATACATACAGACATACACACGCATACATACATACACACGCAAACAAACATGCATTCACACGCATACAAACATACATCCATACATACATACACACATACATGCATGCATACATACATGCATACATACATGCACCCATACATACAACCATCCACAACTACAACATGCACACACAGACATGCATACATTCATATGTTGATGTCTGCATATGTGTGTGTACACTTACACGTATACCAATACACATATATGTATACATGTGCGCCCACCTCGCTGTCAGTATTTGCATGTATGTATATATATATATATAGGTGTATACACACATCTCGTTATGTATACCACTCTGTATACACCCTTATTTCTATCAGTTGACGTATTAATATATACAATTATCTGTATTTGTGACCAACACAACAGGCAACGACATGTACGTCGCCCGCAAACAAGATCGCACTGCAACTCGCACGGGCAGATGTTATGGTTAATGCGCACAATAGGAATCGGCATTGCAATCTCCACTAATCAATCCGATTATAAAGACACACGAGCGGATTTTATATGTAACCCGTACCATAGGTTTCAATGTGTGAATCACCCAGAGGAGGAATTCAACTGCGAAGCCCCACAACACATGCTTATGTTTTGCGAATCCGCAGCAACCAATCTATTATAACACCGCGCAAAAGGATCCGATGTGCAAGCTACACACGAGGCATCAATGTGCAAATCGCCCACGCAAGGGATTTATTGTACAGACCAAATGGGACTGCGATTGCAATCCATATAATAATAACGAATTCGTGACTGGCCCATCAAAGGACTTAGATTACAAACTCATACACAAGGATTCCATACTTAACCCACGAAATAAGACTCAACATGTACACCCACCATGAAAGAAATGCCATTGTAAATCCACACAGTAGGATCTCATTTGTCATGTTCAATGGGGGCCAATCTGCACCCCCCTGAACAAGAATATTGTTGTTGCACAGCCCCATAAAAAAGGATTCCACTTGCAATCGCCCATTGCAGGACAAAAACCGTTTTTACAGCCACACGAAACGATTTCATGTGTAATCCGCACGCCGAAAAAACAATGTGCAAATCGCTCAACAAACGAATACGATTGCACACTTCTGCAAAAGGATTTCAGGTGTAATCCACATAAGAAGAATCCACGTGCAAACCACTCACCAAACCACGTCTTTTGAAACAGGGCCGTGCAACACCCGGACGAGACAACAAACACACGGAACCTGTTGATATGTTGTTTGCCGTTGTCCGCCTCCCCCCCGGCCCCCAAAACAAAGAAGATTGGGACCCCCCAGGAACCATTTCCGTTGGTTGTTTCTTTTTCCCAACCATCCTGTGGTGTTGGGTCCTCGTTGTTTTGAACAGACACAGCCCGCGTCCTTCCTTCATCCCGCTGCCCCCCGTCCATCCCCCAATCATCAGCATCACCGTCACCATCATCATCGTCATCATCATCACCATCACCATCAGTTCGGCACACCCCTCACACGGTTCGTGGCCCCATAGGGAGCTCCACCGAAGGCCCCAGTGTGGCCCAGTGGGTGCGTTCGCATGCGTCACCGCCGCCCAATTTGGCACACCTCTCACACAGTTCGTGGCCCCATAGGGAGCTCCACCGAAGGCCCCAATGGGTGCGTTCGCATGCGTCACCGTCACACATTACGGAACACCCCTCACACGGTTCGTGGCCCCAAAGGGAGCTCCACCGAAGGCCCCAGTGGGTGCGTCCGCACGCGTCACCACCACCCAATTCGGCACACCCCTCACACTGTTCGTGGCCCCATACAACGAAGGCCCCAGTGCTTGCGTTCGCATGCGTCACCGCCACACATTTCGGCACACCCTTCACACGGTTCGTGGCCCCATAGGGAGCTCCAACGAAAACCCCAGTGGGTGCGTTCGCAAACGTCGCCGCCACACATTACGGCACACCCCTCACACGGTTCGTGGCCCCATAGGGAGCATCACCGAAAGCCCTAGTGGCTGCGTTCGCACGCGTCACCACCCAGTTCGGCACACCCTTCACGCGTTTCGTGGCCCCATTGGGAGCTCCAGCGAAGGCCATAAAGGGTGTTTTCGCATGCGTCACCGCCACCCATTACGGCACACCCCTTACACGGTTCGAGGCCCCATAGGGAACTAAAATGGTGCGTTCGCATGCGTCACCGCCACCCAAGTCGGCACACCCCTCACACGGTTCGTGGCCCCATAGGGAGCTCCACCGAAGGCCCCAGTGGGTGCGTTCGCATGCGTCACCGCCACCCAATTTGGCACACATCTCACACAGTTCGTGGCCCCATAGGGAGCTCCACGGAAGGCCCCAGTGGGTGCGTTCGCATGCGTCACCGCCACCAATTACGGCACACCCCTTCAGTGGTTCGTGGCCCCATAGGGAGCTCCAGCGAAAACCGCAGTGGGTGCGTTCGCAAGCGTCACCGCCACACATTACGGCACACCCTTCACACGGGTTCGTGGCCCCATAAGGAGCTCCACCGAAGGCCCCAGTTCGTGCGTTCGCATGCGTCACCGCCACCCAGTTCGGCACACCCTTCACTCGGTTCGGGCCCCAATACGTCCACCGAACGCCCCAGTGCCACCGTCCGCATGCGTCACCGCCACCCATTATGGGACACCCCTCACACGGTTCGTGGCCCCATAGGGAGCCCCACCGAAGGCCCCAATGGCTGCGTCCTCGTGCGTCACCGCCTCACATTGCGGCACACCCCTCACACGGTTCGTGGCCCCATAAGGAGCTTCACCGAAGGCTCCAGTGGGTGCGTCCACATGCGTCACCACCACCCACTTCGGCATACCCCTCACACTGTTCGTGGCCCCATACGGAGCTGCTCATCAAACCACGTATTTTGAAACAGGGCCGTACAAAAGCCGGACGAAACAACAAACACACGGAAACTGCTGATATGATGTTTGCCGTTGTCCGCCTCCCCCCCGGCCCCCAAAACAAAGAAGATTGGGACCCCCAGCAACCATTTCCGTTGGTTGTTCCTTTTTTCCAAATCATCGTGTGGTGTTGGGTCCTCATTTTGAACAGACACAGCCCGCGTCCTTCCTTCATCCCGCTGCCCCCCGTCCATCCCCCAATCATCAGACTCACCGTCACCATCATCATCGACATCATCATCACCATCATCATCAGTTCGGCACACCCCTCACACGGTTCGTGGCCCCATAGGGAGCTCCACCGAAGGCCCCAGTGGGTGCGTTCGCATGCGCCACCGCCGCCGAATTCGGCACAACCTTCACACGGTTCGTGGCCCCACAGGGAGCTCCACCCAACGCCCCAATGGTTGCGTCCTCGTGCGTCACCGCCACCCAAGTCGGCACACCCCTCATACGGTTCGTGACCCCATAGGGAGCTCCACCGAAGGCCCCGGTGGCTGCGTCCGCATGCGTCACCGCCACCCATTACGACGCACCCCTGCAGCTGACGCCGACGGGGGGGAAGGCGCCCCTCATCTCAAGCTTCGAGGAACTGGCGGCGGCCGGCATCAACCTCGCCCCGGAATGCCAGGCCGTGATGAAGCTTTTCTGCAACGCGCCGCTGTGCTTCGAGCTCCATGCGTCTAACCGCTTCATGGGACCTCATGGTTTTCCCGCGGAAGCCGGGGAAGCAAGTGCCTCCGGCCATCCGTGCCGCGTGGAACGCCATGCAGATGAAGCCCGGCGATCGTCGGCTCCTGGAGGACCGGTTCCAGAGTGGCCACGTGATCGGGTCCTACTGGGACACCGTCGCGCGGTGGATGAACATGCGCGCGCAGCGGGGCGCGGACGTCCTGGAGAAGCCCCTTTTCCTTGCACAGGCAGCCGACTGGTCTGCCCCGACGATGAGCAAGAAGGACGCCGCCAAGATAATGAACTGCGCCAGCCCGAAGAACACGGGTGGCATGCGCGGACTCTTGCTGGTGCACGTGGGCATGCGGATCCGGCTCCTGGAGGCGCTCGACCACAAGAACGGCCTCGTGAAGGATGCAGAGGGGCAGATCGCGCACGTCGTCGTGGACCCGCGGGGCGCGGCCATGGTCGAGCAAGCCGAGAGAGACGGGGAGAAGAGGATCGATCTGAAGCAGTTGCCGCTGGGGTTTTGGGCGCGCATGGAGAAGTACGCGGGCGCGCCCTTCGTGGGCGCCCCGGAACGCCACAGCGACAGCCTCACGGGAGAGCTCACGGGCCCGCTGGTGTTCATCGAGCCTCGCACGTCGGAGCCGTTCACCTTCCGCACCTCCAAGGTCACCCGCATCGGCTTCGCGCTCTCGCATGGCAGGGCCATCATCACGGTGGCGCGCCAGGGGCGCACCATGCGAGAAGGCGACGGGGCGAGGGAACCGCGCTCTGAAGGCGGCCAGACCTCTGGGGCGCGAGCATTCCGCAGCCAGACCCTGGTCGTGTGGACTCTCGCCCCATCGGCTGTCCGGCGCGCTGATCTCCCGGCCGACGTC